CTGTGATGTATTAAATTAATGAATTAACAATTTGTGTTGTGCTTAACAGATTTGGCATTTCAGATAATTTACCTCTATGAAGATCTTGTGAATTATGTCAATGAGGAAGGGTATTCCCCTCTCCATCTTCTGGCTAGTAAGCCTTCGGCCTTCAAAAGTGGTAGCCACCTTAGGCCATTCAAGAGAATAATTTACCACTGTAAGTATTAGTACAGATACAGTATTACTTGCAAGGATGCATAAGATCGAAAACTAACATATATTGCGATCAGTCAGTTCTGTATTAAAGTAATAATTCTTCTGTATGACTGGTTGGAAGGTATATATGTTGATGATCTCAAGGTGGAACAAAAGGATCAACCTAAGCAGGGGTTAATTAAGACATTCAAAGAGGAAAAGGATCCCAGATATCCAGAAAACTACCAGACATGCGTCAACTACTTTCGGGTGTTCAGGAAATTGGTTCGACTGTTTGGTATGCAAATTAAAGCCATTTAATTCAAACTACAAAAGTATTTTAGTCAAGATTGGCTTTAATTTGTACTTGCTTTTCTGTAAGGATCAGTCCGTTTAAGGAAGCAGCCTTTTGTGCTATCAAACTACCTAGATGCATGTCAAAGTTTCTCAATATTGAATTCAATTTGCAGCCTTTTGTGCTCTGTAGTCAAGTACTGTACACAAGCTACTATTTTGCAGTTACCAAAATTCTGAGAAGAAGAGGACAAAATTCAGCAGATACAGAGAACCCCGGAGCAGATACAGGCAAGAAAGGCCTACTCTTTTTCATATGCTTCAAGTTCAAGCCTAGTCTGAAGTAAAACCCTTACAAAATTGTTAGTTGGTCATGAAAAATATGTTTATTTATATAGATGGAGCTCGAGGGCATCAATCATTTCCGGTTAATTACAGCACCTGCTTTGATTTTGTCAAGCTTATATCAAAGGCAATGCTGATTGTTCTTGGATTAGGTATGGCCATTTTTTTCTCAATCCTAAACCTCTTGGTATGTTTCATCATCTCATGCCTTGATCTACAGATTCTACACCTATCCAGTGCAGACATAATTTATATAACGCAAGATGCATTTCCCTTTTAATGCTTGAAGGGTCTATGGAGATACGGAAGACAAGGGAAAAGAAAGAAAAGCACAAATGGGCTTTTCAGATCATGAATGAACTATTAAAAAGAGCTGTTATGTACGAGGACGAAGATAGTGGTATGAATCCGCAGAGCGCAGCACCATCCCGCGGAGACAATGAAGAGACAAGACCTTATGAAATTGAGTCTTTACAAGATAGCCAACAGAATAATAATAAGGCAAATAATGGTAAAGAAAACATTGCAGAAGGTAACTGCTCTACGTATAATTTTAATTCAGCACATGTCACATTGCCACCATGCTTAGAAAATTATACATGGCTGTAGCTTGTAGCCAACCAGTAAATTAAATATCTTATGAAATGTATCTAGGGTCATCATCATCAGCAGAAGCGATCGAGATGAAAACCCCTAGTACAAAGAAAATTATGGAAACACCAATACTGATTGCTGCAAAAAATGGTGTAACTGAGATGGTGGAGAAGATCCTGGAACTTTTTCCAGTGGCCATCCACGACATGAACACAGAGAAAAAGAATATGGTGCTGTTGGCTGTGGAGAACAGGCAACCCCATGTGTACAACTTGTTGCTGAAGAGAGAGATCTTGCGAAATAGTCTGCTCTGCAAGGTGGATGATAAAGGGAACAGTGCTTTACATCTAGCAGCAAAGTTAGGAGAACATAAGCCTTGGCTAATTCCTGGAGCTGCATTGCAGATGCAATGGGAAATCAAATGGTACGAGGTAAGGATTTCAATTTTCATCCCCCAGAGGTGCCATGGTCTAATCAAAATAATTAAATTACAATTTACAACTTTAATATCTTATACATGCGTGTATGCAGTTTGTAAAAGCCTCAGTGCCACCAAACTTCTTTTCCCGCCACAATAAGCAGAGCAAGACGGCAAGGGACATCTTCACCGAAACTCACGCAAAGGAAGTCAAGGCCGGAGGCCAATGGCTCAATAGCACCTCCAAGTCCTGCTCTGTGGTGGCGGCCCTCATTGCCACCGTGGCCTTTTCCACTTCCACCACTGTTCCAGGTGGCATGAAACAGGACAGTGGCGAACCGACCCTCGAAAACCAGCCAGCTTTCGAGGTATTTGCCATAGCTTCGCTCGTTGCGCTCTGCTTCTCAGTGACGTCAATGGTGATGTTCCTGTCCATCCTCACGTCCCGGTACCAAGAGAAAGATTTCGGTAAAGACCTGCCAAGGAAGCTTTTGCTTGGCTTGACGTCGCTGTTCGTGTCCATTTCTTCTATGTTGGTTTCTTTCAGCGCCGGACATTTCTTCGTGCTTAAAGAAAAGCTCAAATATGCTGCTATTCCGGTTTATGCAGTAACGTGCTTGCCTGTAACGTTTTTTGCCATGGCGCAGTTTCCTCTCTATGTTGATCTGCTATGGGCTACTTATAAGAAGGTGCCTCAACGGAGTTACAAGGTAGCTCCTCCTTAAGAATTTATGTAAGTTGTAACTGCAAAAAAATAAGAGTCAGAGCATCAGGAACTTGCAAAAGGTTTTTAATTCAGTACTTCCATTTTATATTTTCGTACTAAGAAATCGGAACTCAACCCATAAACAGGCAGGACAATTTGGCCAAGATCCAACAAGATTTGGTGCAATGGACATATTTAATCAAGTAATACATAGGTTAAATGAAAAAAGAAAAAGAAAGAACAAACAAGTAACATTTTTCTTCTTTGGAAGATTGCAAGCCAAGTAATAAGGCTATGGTAGCATCAAACACTTGCGCTACATAAGAAAAGTTGCATCAAACACTTGGGGACCTCCATCTTGGCCAATTGAAAAAATGGTCATTAGAATTTCTTGGTAAAGATAGTAAGAAGTGTAAAGGGAAGATAACTGGCCAAAAGAAAAAGGGTGGAAGAGAGAATCTGCATTCGAAATTAACAAGTGTAAAGGGTAGTTAGAGAGGACATATAATTAGTAAAATAATTAAGGGGGTTAAGACAGAATTTGCCAACCTCTACGTTCTCCTCCATTCTGCAGGCCCCTCAATCTAAAGAGATTGATCAGGATTCATCTTTGATAAAGAAAAATCATAGCTAGATTTCGGAATGAAACTCCATGTGTGTGGATGGATTACCAAAATACTTAACATCCAAGTCATGATCTTCTTAGAGGTATACCGAAATACTTTTCCATGGATGCAAAATCAAAGTCCCACGCTATCATGGGAATGTGCTTCCTGATGGCTGCAGCCTTACTTCTCTGATATAATTGGGCACTTTTCAAGTTCCATTGTTTATTCTCCAAATTCAAACAGAGTCCATGCACTTGCTGCATATATACAGATCAATGAATATTGTCTTTAGAAATTGTTCATGTTCTTTAGCCTTTAATTATAATAATCAAGGGCATCACTTTTGATGATTG